CCAATTTCAATGAAACTTTGAAGAAATGAAATTCCAGCAGGAGGACATGACACTTGTTGAAATGGAACAAACAAGTCAACCGCCATGTTGGAGATCAACCAAAAGTTTGGAAAATTTCAACAAAAATTAAGTGAAACACAAAACTTTGCAACTTCTTATAAATCAACCAAACCGATCTATTTCAAATAGTCACTAATTTGTGCATTGAAGAACAAATTTATCACAACATTTGTATTGCCAAATACACCCAGGGAGGTGGTGCTACTCAAATCTCCGGGGACAGACCACTTCTCTCCCCACAAGCTCCAATACGCCACTGAACATTTGGAATAACAATAACCCCATGGTGTGTTTTTGGCTCGATTCTTTGGACGTCCTGTTCGGCATTAAGTGTCAACTATTTGATCGTTTGTGGCTCGTTTCCGTACACTTTGTCTGTCAAAAATACCCAAAGGTAATAATTTACTGGGCTAATGTTTGGGGGAAGGTGGTGACCATTCATTTGGAAACTTTTGGCTTATGAGGCGTTCCCCAAACCTTTCTTCCAACCACACCAGGACCACTCTTGACGTGTGGGGTGTGGCCCCATCCCAAGGGACCCAGGCCTCTACAACATAACACCTTCTCCTTCCCAAACTTCTCCCAAACTTTCTCAGCATGGTGAGACATCCATCTGAAGTGACTGTCGTGGTCCTACCGTCTTTACCCTGACACCAGAAGGAGCCAATCACGCCCCTGTAGCTGAACGTTTCTAACAAGTGAAGTTTGCATTTTACCCAAATTTGGTTGAAATTTTTTAAACTTTATATTTTATGGCAGCGTAAATGGACTTTCTTCATATTTGCAAACTTGATAACCCCTTGGTTGAATTGTATTTGTTCCAAGTTTTGTTAAAATGAGGGCACAAATGACCAAGTCATTGCCCTCTACCACTTTGCAGTCACCCAGCCAGCAGTACAAAATACCCCATCTGGTCACACAGTACAAAATACCCCATCTGGTCACACAGTACAAAATACCCCATCTGGTCACACAGTACAAAATACCCCATCTGGTCACACAGTACAAAATACCCCATCTGGTCACCTAGCCAGCAGTACAAAATACCCCATCTGGTCACCCAGTACAAAATACCCCATCTGGTCACCCAGTACAAAATACCCCATCTGGTCACACAGCCAGGAGAGTGACTGCAACGGACTTCTCAGGCCTGGCGTATAGGCCTAGACGTAGCTGTGTCAGGTGACCAGAACGGATAATTTTCACCGGCGCATTATTGCGCCAAATGACCGCAAAGTGTTTAGAGGGTCCTCTTTTTTTAAAGACACCCTATACAAGCGACACAAAGAAGAGATATCTAAGAGCATCTATAAAGTAGATCTAGATATCTAGATCTAGTACAAATGACACAAAGACGAAATATTCGAGCATCTAAAAAGTAGAGCAAATGACACAAAGACAAAATATTCGAGCTTCTAAAAAGTAGATCTAGATCTAGATCTAGTACAAATGACACAAAGACGAAATATTCGAGCTTCTAAAAAGTAGATCTAGATCTAGATCTAGATCTAGTACAAATGACACAAAGACGAAATATTCGAGCTTCTAAAAAGTAGATCTAGATCTAGATCTAGTACAAATGACACAAAGACGAAATATTCGAGCATCTAAAAAGTAAATCTAGATCTAGTACAAATGACAAAAAAGACGAAATATTCGAGCTTCTAAAATGTAGCACAAGCGACACAAAGCGGTCTAGGACGCGAAGAGATGGAAGAACAAAACGGCCAGACCTCTAGCCCCAGATGCACTGGTACCTGTTCATGAGATTCCAGTTTTCAAGTTTCATGTGAGTTGCATTTGCAGGCGTGTAGTTGTGCAACTGAATGACTGACGGTAAAAAATGCTTAAGAATCTCGGCGACCATCACTGGGGAAGATCAAATTGACACGTGTCACCGCATGCGGGAGCCAGGCGCTCCTCACTTTGGGCACACCGAGGTGTCGGGAGAGTTTTACAGCTTCTCCATTTATCTTGCTTTTGATTTTTTTTTTAAATACCCATCTATCTAATTTTACCACTGACACCATGCGACCCCCACCTCCTTCAATAACAAATATCTCAACTTCTATTGAAGATATATGGGTAATTGTTTCAACAAAAGCAAGACGAATTAACAAGCTCAAAGATGATACTAATAACTCGGTATGCCCAAAAATTGACGAGCGCCAGATTCCAGTGTCATGAAAATATTGTTTTATAAATGCGTTATCGAGCCAACCTGATATTGTTTTAACGTAAATCTAGTGTATCTGATATAAATATTATTTTACACGTAAATCTAGTCTAACTGATATATAATATTGTTTTACACCTACATCTAGTCTGTCTGAAATATTGTTTTACACGTAAATCTTGACTATCTGACATAATTATTGTTTTTATAAATCTAGTCAGTCTGACATAAATATTGTTTTACACGTATATCTAGTCTGTCTCATATAAATATTGTTTTATAAGTAAATCCAGTCTATCTGAAATAAATATTGTTTTACACATAAATCTAGTTAACTGATATAAATATTATTAAACACGTAAATCTAGTCTGTGTGAATATAAATATTGTTTTACACGTAATCAAGTCAGTATGATATAAATATTGTTTTACATGTACAGTGGGACCTAGGTAAGACGGAATCGCAAGGGAGCCAGAAAAAAATTGCGTCTTAGACAGGGGAATTTAGGGGGAGATGGATAAAGGGGGGCAGGGGGGGGGGGTTCAAAGGCCCAGGCGGTGGGATCAAAGATCGCTTTCCGATCGGCAAGCAGAGGTCAAAACTTCACACCTCTCAATTGATATCCTGTCTGATAATGACATGTGTCATTCTAACTTATCCAATTACCACCAGTGCTTGCCTTTCATAAGACCACTGTTTTGACCAATTAAAAACAGAAACGTTTGAGTATCTCCTTTGCCTCCCCCCTTAGCCCCACCCACCGGTGTAACAAGCACAGTCAACCAATGCCACTCCTCACTGCCATCATGTAACAACGATTCGAGGAACTCTTTTCTCAGCAGGCCGTATGATCAGGGCCGCAGGCATTGGTCAAACTAATTTCACACCTCTGGCTTCTGGCTGCCCAGGAAAGTTTCCGTAGTGGCTCGCTACTCGAGCACTCTCACGGGCAGTCGTGAGATTTCACATCCACACCACCCTGACCATATATGCATTGCTCAGGGCTCACATGATGGGGTAACATCTCCCCCTAAACCGCACCCCTACTCCCCTTCCTCGCCAGTGGCATGGCCATGGCGTTAAGTTTAGAGCCGGCGGAACCAAACTTGAGAGTTTTGTTTCAAATCAGGGCTCAGCGGTCAAAGTATTTTCCTTCTTAGACAGGTGAAATCCTCGGAAGGGAGCGGACTTTTCTTTCCGTTTCCACGTCGGACAGTTTTCCGTTTTATACAGGTAAGGTTTCCGTTAAGGCAGGTTTGACTGTAATTCTAGACTGACATTATATAATTGTTTGTGTCTTTCATAAGACTAAAGCATAAGCCTTTTATGTCAAAAGTCCCCACACCATTCTTTTCCCACAACTGTTCTATGACTAATCATCTATTTGGTCGACATGAGGGTAAACTTCACAGAACATTTGTGTTACGACACTGTGGAATCAGGCGCTCATCAATTTTTGGGCATGTGGAGTTATTGGTACCATCTCAAGCTTGTTTAACTATCTTGCTTTTGATTTGAAAAAATACCAATGTATCTTCTTCAGTATCTAGAGGTCGACATATTTGCCATTGAAGGAGATGGGGGTTGCCTGGTCTCAAGGGTAATTAATTAGCAAAAAAATGACCGCCAAAGTTTGGTGACTTCCAAAGCTTGAGTACAGTGTCGACCTTAGAAATGTGTTTTCAAAGGGAAATAAAAGATGTTGAGCCCAAAAAAAGGAAAAAGAAAAATTCAATAAAAACTACTTAACAGGTAGAAAAACATTGGTTTCTTAATTTTCCATATTTTGACGAGCGCCTGACTTCACCACAAGGACACACAGATCTCGTCTGAAATGACGGACATGGAACAGATCTCGTCAGCAACACGGAACAGATCTCGTCTGAAATGACCAACACAGAACAGATCATTAACATGCCACCTCACTCTTCACTAGCTGCAGATCACTGAGCAGACACGTGCGATGGAAGGTCGTGGGTTTGGTGCAGTAACGAGATTGGAAAGAGTAAAATTGAGTCTTCTGATATCTTCAAAATCGCAAAAGTCAGCAACATACTAGATTCTAGATATATTTATTATAATCTAGATCTAGATTTCTTGTACATTATTTTCTCAAGGAGTGAGAATAGTGCAGGCGAGTCTTGTGGCTATTCTCACCCGGTGCGCGTTCACCAAATTTTGCGTTCACCCTAAACCACAAAATTCTACACTGTGATAACAGAAAAATTGTAGAATTCTGTGCCGTGAACAAACGTTCCATTACAACTGTAGCCTACTAAAAGCGTACAATTTTGTCTGTGGGCAGTGGAGAGAGAGAGAGAAAGAGAGAGAGGAGTAGCGCGAGAATTTCCGGGCAAAACAAAATGGCGACCCGCGTAGTTCGGCTCGATTCGAAAAGTTAAATAGCCGTAGCATCTTTGTAGACAACCAAATTAATTTACTTTTGTGTTTTAACATCATTTTTTAACTTTGTTTGGGTAAATTTGATCGTCCACACCGATAGACAGTATTCAGAAAGAGACAGAGAGAGAGAGAAGAGGGGAGGAGTTGATCTTGCGAGAACTTCCGGGCGGGTGAGAATAGCCACTTTCGAGACGGAATAAACACGGAGTGGTCAACATAAATAATATAGATCTAGACTAGACATATTATAAATCTAGATCTAGATTCTAGATCTAGAATCTAGATCTAGATCTAGATATCTAGATATTAGATCTAGATCTAGATCTAGATCTAGATTCTAGATCTGGTTCGGGGTCCTACCTCCGTCAGAAAAATCTCTGTTTATGTTTCTTTTCGGCCTGGATAACGGTATTTTATCCACCCATGAGTACAGTTCTTCGAGTTCGTCTTCATTCAGTGTGTCTAGGTCGTCAACGTGTTTTACAACAGCAGCCATGATGAACCCCAAAAAGGCCCCCAAAAATGTTTAGAATGTTGGCAAGTGCGTAGAAATCTAGGTTTGAAGCTGCAAATGAAGGGGCAAGAGATGCGATAGCGATAGTTTACATTGTTGTCGTCGAAACCATCTACCCACAATACCCTTCACCGGTGACTTTTCCGGTACTCATTATATTACTATTTTCCTAGTTTTCAAACCATTCAGAATATTTTTTGCCTTCTTACACTTCTTATATTTTATTTACACTTATGAATAAATATTTTTTCATCAGATAATTTGAATTATACTCTCTTTTTACTGCAAAAAAAACAAAGTAAATTCGATAATTTCAGTCTGATATGCATATGATGTTCATCACCGGAAAAAAACATTGACATTCTAAAGTCCACACCATAATTCGATATCCTTACCGGAAGTAAATAATCCATTTTGGTCCTGGCAATGTACGAAGCCTGATTTGCCTGCCAATAGCACTGTGCTCGCTGAGTAATGTTAAGCATGAATTAGGCTATAAAAGACAGAGAGAGA